ATTGCTGGCTGCATAATAAACTCAAGTGGATATAAATGTGCTTATTATTAGCCTCAAGACATTTCGCAGTCGTCAAGAGGATGGAAATAGCGTCAGCTTAACAGGCACGAGAAAGGCGATCGCCAGCTTTAAGCCAGTGGCTCGCACTCGCCTGCGCCGTGAGCCCTGCGTCATTCGCGGTTCTCCTGAAAGCCGCTTGTGGATATAACACGTCGTCTAGTGAATCTGATATTGCCGTCGATGCCTCAGCCGGGATTACGACGCAAAGTGGGTTGATATGGATAAGGAGGCAGGAACTAGAACCCTGTGTGGTTGGTTATCCAATTCATTAATACACGATGGACGACTACGACATGTACAGCGATGGTGAGCGATGAACTTCCGCGCTGGACCCGTATACCAGCGAAAACACTCGGCACGGTGGGCCCCGCGCGGAATAGCCGTGTTGGTCAGTATAGTTTTGACCTTCACGGTCATTTTTTCTGATTACTCTTCTCACCATTTCCTCTGTTTGCCTTTTCAGACATTAGCTATTTGGCGATTCTTATCACAGTAGCTATCATAAACATATAGCTGTACAGTTTCTGCCCCTTCAAAAGCACCTGAATTACCAAAAATTCCTCATTCTGAGGCCTCAAATGATGTTCAAGACATCTCTTCGTGTGTGGTTCACCGCATACAGAGACCTGCTTTGCATGCGGAAAAAGAAACCCCGATCAAATTTCTGGGTGCTCAGCAATGTCAGAGGGTTTTCCTTCGGCGGCTGACGAGAAAAACCCATGAAGCCCTCAACCTCTCAACTTAACCACACTGCTTTGGCTGCTCGAAACTCTCACAAGCTCTCTGGCGGCCACAATTAAAATTACCGGCGCTATCACAAGATACGGGGGCATTGTGGTGACGAAACATTATAAATCACATAAAATATGTCTTTTTTACTGGGAAAAGAGGAGCAAGCATCAGGTGTGAGAGGAGAAACTGCATGGGCCATTCATTTTCCCGGAGTTTCTGCCTCCTCCTAGGCTTAGTTTTCTGGAATGCCCCGTATATTGTGATAGCGCTAAATTACCGAATCATCCACAGCGAACCCACGCACACCTTTTTTTGCCATCTCCATATTGCCATCTTCCTCCTCTTTCAGAAATATAGAACTCGAAATCGCCCGCAGCTGAATATATGAGGGAAGACGTTCATTCTCATTCCTCCTTTTCTCCAGTAAGGAATTGTAGCTGAATCCTAACTAACAATTCGTCATGAAAGACCTCGCAGGCAGGTTACTTCACCACTGGAATGACTACTCAGTTAGGGTAGCTGGGCGTAAAAATATAACCGGGCTGAGATAATGACAATACAGTAAGTACTAGAGTCCTGTACGGACTCTAACTCGGGCCAACTTGGCTCTTCATACATGAGCAGACGAACCTGCGTACAGACAACTGCATGGCGCATCCCAAAAGAGCTACAGAGCGCTCAATCTGATATCTGATTAAATGGGAATGATTCTTCCCATAAGGAATTGGGAAAGAGAGTAAAACTCATTAAATGGGAATGATTCTTCCCATAAGGAATTGGGAAAGAGAGTAAAACTCAGTCATCTAATGCTCTAGAAACCTACGGTCATCCGATAGTAGGCATGTGTTCTAAATTCAGCCAAAAATTAAATGAGATTGTTCCAGGTCAGTCATCAATAATCCCACAGGAATTCTCGACATTCGAGTCCAATGAACCGGCGATACCGAAAGAAATCAACTACCGCGGACAAACCGTTGTCGGATTCGATCTACGCGGCACTGATATGCTATGCTTACCACAGGTATCACAGATTTGTGTCGGTTGTGTGACATGAGGTCACCACGCGACGTCGCGTAAACGCATTTCAAGTTCGCGCGCCAAATTTGGACGGACCCCTTCGCCGAGACAATTGCGACTGGGGCAACATATTCGCAAGTGCCCGTCAACCGTTGTGGAGCAATGTAGTAGTAACAGGGGTGTGCAGGGAAGCTTCTCTTCACCTTTATAGAACGAATCACCCTTCTAAAAATGCCGAGCAGATGAATCGAAGCTTTCTTATGGCCCCAAGAAGGTCCAATTTGCCATGTAACACTACTAGTAGAGCGCTAAGGCAGGCGTCAGACTTTGCGAATTACCGCGCGATTCGCTTTCGATTGGTCACAAAGTCTGAAATTTGCTCAATGCTAACGTGCTGCCTCGCACTCGCACAATAGTCTCAACCATTCCGTTCCTATTCACTGCAAACGTCTCTAGAGAGGGTGCGCGACGTCGCGTGGTGACCTTTTGTCACACTGCATGAGTAAATTGTGAACAACCTCTCCATAGAAGATAACCACACTCATTACAGGTCTACGAGCTCTTTCTCAAGAACATGGTTGGCGGCCTACATACAGTTTATACAAAGCTCAAAAGATTGGAAATAACACCAATCATATGCAATGTTGAACAGGTAAACATTTCCACGTCGGCCACATAGCGCCACATAGGGCGATATAGCGCGAAAACGAGCTACATGGGGCGACATAGCGCGACATTGAACCACATGGGGCCACAAGGCGCCACTATGGCCAGCAAACACTCAGTGAGCAATATACCATCATTGGTTGTAAGCAAACTCAACGCAGCTTCTACAGTATAAAAAGCAGGCGCTATCGCACGATACGGGGGCACTTTAGACAGTGCCGTTGGAACCAGTAAAACATACCCATTTCCCTAGAAACGGGAATAAGTCTCAGGCGGAGGAGAGAAAACTCCAGGATGCGTGAGAGATTTTTATTTTCCACAAGGTTCCTACCTCCGCCTAGGCTTAC